GCACCCGATGCGTCGATCATTGCTAAAAATGCAACAGAACGAGCGTAGATAGATGTTAAGATTTTCGCGAAGACACTGTTTCGAATCCCGCAGCCCTAAAAGTTGTTGTTCATTCATCTAGAAAAATTTACCATTTATATTTATAGTTAATACTGGTGGATATTGCTAGTGAAATCCTTAAACTGCCTATACCCCACATATGTATATAGTTAATATAATGAGCAACAAATAAAACATTTCAAGACAAATAAATAATAAGCCAACAACTACTCATAAACATTTCGATGTGTCAAATGTGTATAAAAAGTACATGGTCTTTATCGATACGGATATGGATTCTGCTCTGATAATAGTATACAATAATTAATATAGCTCTGTCTTCAATCTTGAATGGTTCAATATTGAATATTAAATATTGAAGTGAATATATTCACGATCTCCTCGCGTGTACTCTTCCTACGCTGTCCGAGATAATTAAAACTAATTTTGCATTGGACGGAGAGGGACTCGATTGCGAGCGACTTAATACTGCCTACACTGTTCTGGTGACGGTACCTGTGGGAACTGATGGTGTAGGGTTGTGACGTAAAGTAATAGTTTTTGTGGTCGATAACAGTTCTTAAGATGAAGACTTATTATATCAGGTAATAGAAAGAGTTGATGGTCACGACGAAGTTAGTAGCAATTTTGTCATAGATACAAATGTCTATGCATTTGATGAAAATATCGCCCATAATAATTGTTACCGTTAGATTTAGGGAAAATAAAATAAGTAAAACGAAACGATAGAAGTCTGCCGTTGTGATGTGCGGTCACGGAAAACCTACTGGATGGATTTCAATCAATTCTTCTAAGATGTATTTGATATTTATTTGGCCCTTACCTGAAGTAAATGTTGTGATAGCTTTATTTTATGTAAAGCTATTAGAGGTTTAAGAAACGACGATTTTATAAGCACTATGTCTTTAGTGATGTGTCTAGACGGGACCCACTTTATTAAAAGGTAGCAACTCATTGCAATCTTACGGGAGTTGCAAATGTCAATGGGCGTTGGTTATCACTTAACATCTTTACACTTAAGAAAGAAAGTTGTCTATATTTTGAGCAACTCGGGTGACGTCGCAAGTGTCGGCTAGCATTTCATAAAACGAGAGTTCAAGAAGAGCCAAACCTTTGACGTAATTTTAAAGAAGTTAACTCTTTACGCACACATATGTGGTATTCATAAAAGTGCGTTAACTGATCAAAGCTTATTAGACGAAGTGGATTCTTTTGCCGACGTTACCGGCGGAAAGAATGGAAAAAGAAAAACTGTCAAAGGCCCCCGTGCAACTGATGATTTACCGCCAATTGTCTCCGAGGTGGGGGCAGCCGTTTTTTAGTTTGTTTCCAGCCCGTTGTTAATTACCGCGCGGCGCAACGAGTCAGACTGGTTCGAAATTAAAACAACAACGCCTAAGCGAAATACACCCGTATACATTAAAATGTTAATGTGCCGATAGTTATCTGTCCCCAGGGCTGACGTCTTCTACACGCTTCTAGACGTCAACTGACGTTGATGACGCTTATAGACTTGTCGATGCCAGGAACTTTCTCGTCACGAACGTTCTTGATTCGAATTATCTTAGTTGATAAGGAGATGGTAGATCAGTGTCCACTTGTTGAGAATCAATGACGACTTGACTTGACACTCCTGAACTTAGTTATTGTACCTTTAATTGTTGATTAACTTTAATCGATCATTAGTTCACGGCACGGCTAAAACTATTGGATAAAGAAAGTTGACATTTTGTCAATAGTAGGTATATCCATTTATTTTTTATCGAAGGTAAAGTGTTGAAATTTTGTGAATTTTCGGGTTTAGTTTGAACTTTCGGTTTAATTTCGGTCGATTTATATAAACTTTCAATTCTTACGACAACTCCAAGAGAATGTTTAATTCTAAGGAGTTTTGTAAAAAAAACTGCGATTTTGAAACGTAAAATTGGTGAAAATGATAATTTTTAGTGTTCCGTACCCAAAGGGTAAAACGAAACCCTGTCACTAAGGCTCCGCTAACTGTCTGTCTGTCCGTCTATCACCAAGCTGTATCTCATATACAATGAAATTTTCACAGTTTATGTATTTCTGTTGCCGCCATAACAACAAATGCTAAAAAACAAAATAAAAACTATTTTAGTGGGGCTCCCACAACAGACATATTTTTTTTCCGTTTTAATAGATAATGGTATGGAACCCTTCATGCACGAGTCCGACTCGCACTTGGCCGGTTTTTTTATTGCATTTTTGATTGGATCTTCTGTCTGGCAGTCTTACATTCCTACCTATTACTAGTCTTAATTTCCGATCGATTCTTCGCATGAGTTCCGTTACAAGATCTACGCAAGCGAAGTCGAAGGAAAGAGCTAGTGGTATTATTAAATGGGTCAATGTTAGTAATACTGACTCGACTTCAGCGAGTGAAAACAATATGTGTTAAAATCGTCGTACGAATCAAAAACACTGGTATCGGTTTAAGAAACATCGTCAACGTCCTCTATAAACTCAGCAGTTATACTTAAGCAACTGAGCACGCGCGGCCAGCTGGGTTGAAAATAATGAATTTAGTGGTGACTTTCATCTTGATATACGTATGTGAGTATAAATAGTTATCTCTTTACCATTGTCCTTTAGTTAATTGGCCAGTGCTTTCTATATTTCGTTATTTATTGTGTTAAACGTCATAGATTTGTTTGTTTACGTTGCAAGAGAGCAAGTGGCCCCTGATGGAACGGGATTGACACCGCATATGGATATTTTTTGATTTGCGGCAAACGAACTAGCTGTTCACCTGATGTTAAGTAAAAACCCTCGCCCGTTGACGTTTGCAACACCCATTGGGTTGCGGATGCGTTGCCACTTTTAAATAAACTGGACTCGGCTACCTCACTCGCCAGACGAAACGCAGAAGTGTAACAATTCCACTTAACGATCTTCTGTCGTGTTACGTACCCGGACGGATATGCACTTTTGTGCAACAGCTAAATGTTGTGTGTGAACAACATTTAAAATCTCTGCAATCTACAACACTTGAAGGGATGCATATGTTTAGTGGTCTTCATCCTTTAAAAGCCTCAATCGTTTCATTAGCTAGAAGAAGTGCAAAACTATAAAACTTCAACATCGTGCCTATTTTCTATAAGACTAAGCTATGTCTTCGGGCCGTCTTCTTCATTTGTGCAACAACAGAAGCTGCTTCGTGGCCATACTACAGCCTCTAATGATTATTTGATTCAAGATGAATAATGAGGCGGCAGAATACCATCACAAATTATAAATGTTGCAAAACTTATAGAGCTGCTTCGAATCCTTCCCAAAATGTGCAATGTAAAGTAAAAATAAGTAAAGTAACGGCCTGTAAATGTCCCACTGCTGGGAAAAGGCCTCTTCTGTACAGAAGGTATTAGGACATAGACAACCCCGCGACCCCACTGTGGATTGGAGGACAACATACCTTTCAATATGCAGGTTTCCTCACGATATTTCCCCTCACCGTTTAACATTTTTATAGCATAAAGCATTTTTAAATATTATACTCTGAGAAGGAGTTGGTAAATGCTCTTTTTAAAATTGTGACTGCTCCAGATTACACATGCTACATTACATCTATACAAGTTATAAAGGAAAATGATTTGCCGATGCCCTGGATGGGAGTTTTACTTTATAAAGCAGGTAAAAGTGTTCTTTTGACATTTAATTCTAATTATTAATTGCCAGTAATTGTTTATGTAGTAAAGACATACGCAATATTATCCATACAATAGATTATATAGACATTTATCTATATAATCTATTGTATAACAAAAATCAACACAGTTATGTCTTTTTATACGCGAGAACAAAATTTTTTAACATTTGGAGGGTGCAAAGCTCAATGAAGTCCGAGAAAGATTTGGATGGACTCTGTGAATATAATAATAAATATAATGATATATCTGTGTAAGGAGTCAGTATTGAGATGAGGGCTGAGAGAGAAAAGTGAAAGGAAACGACATGTTGTGTCGACCCCATCTAGTGTGGGTTAAGGGCAGGAGAAAGAACAAGAAGAAGAAGATCAAACAAATCACTGAAACAGAGCGCTGAAATCTCATAATCTTTACAAAAATATATACAAAAACTCAATATATCTAGAAGTGTTCTCTTGCTACTTTAATGACATCAAGAAAAAGTAAATTAATTTCCATCTGCTAAAACTTAGCCTAGCTTAGCTTAATAAATTTGCTGTTTACAAAACTTGAAATTTTTCAGATAACGATTCGGTAGAGGAAGCGACCAACATCGTGATGATAGAGAATAAAATCGCATTGGCAAACGCGAGGGACATCGCTGCGGTGAAATGGGATCTATTGAAGTTAATATTTAAACTAAACGTGTATAAAAGTGAATGCTTCTTTCAAAGTCAAGTCAAAGTCAAAATTTCCTTATTGAATATAGATTTATTTTAAGCTCTCATTGAACGTCAAAATTTACATTTGTTTCTACATCCATTTTAATGAAAATTCTAATGCTGAAATGATGATGATGAAACACTATAAAATCTGTAAAATAGCTTAATTTAACAATCCTTATCCTTACATCCTTACTACAATAATATTATGAACGCGAAAGTTTTGTATGGTTGGATGTTTGCTACTCTCTCACACAAAAACTACTGAATAGATTTTAATGACACTTTACAATAATATAGCTTATACATCAGAATAACACACAGGCTATAATTTATTAAGATATTGTGAGAATTGTCCAAGACATAGGTAATGATAAGTGTCAACTAAGGAGGAAAAATTCAGCCATTTGCGAGATATTCTGATGTAAATAAACGTTTCTTCTTCTTCTTCTAATAAAACAAATATCATTGTTAGTTTCCTTTAGCCGCGTTTAACAGCTAGTGTGTAATATTCGCGTAAAAACAACAAATCAACAGTACATTCATCACTGTTTCCAGAAAGTTCTCTAAGGCAATGTTTCTCAACGAAGGTTCGCGTTGGTACGTTGGCCTCGTCGGACACTTGATCCATCCAGAATACGAAGAGGGCTTTACAAATACGGTTGCCATACTCTTCCTGGAAAGTGGGAACAATCCGCGCTTTTGTGAGTCTGTTTTAGATTTGCAGTTTCAATATCAGCCTATTGCTGTCTGCACTGCTGAACGTAAGCCTCCCTCGCATTTGCAGTTTAGTGATCTTTAAAAAGTGTAGTAAAGTAACAACCTATATATGTCCCACTGCTGAGCAAAAGCCTCGTCTGTACAGAGAGTCCATACTCTCAGAAGTGGCAATGGGCAGGCTACATCCTCGAAGAAACCGAGAGATCGGAAAACGTAGCGTTGAAAAGCCACCCTCTAGGTGGACCTAATGGCTAAGTGGTTGTCTAGGGTCTACGGGTTGTCTAAGGGTTGTCTTAGGTGACTAAGGGGAGCCTATGTTCAATAGTAGACATCTTACAGCTGAAAATGATGATGTTTACTTTGTTTGGTGTGAATAGAATAATTTGTGTCGATAGAAAAAGTACTAAGCCTTCTCAAATTTAACAAAGATCTTAATTCGAAAGACTACCCGTTATCTGATTAATAAGTTAAGTTACTTGAATAAGTACAATACCTGAAGAAAAAATACAATACACAGTATCAGCCTATTGCCGTCCACTGCTGAACGTAAGTCTCCCAAAGTGCGCCAACTATCCGGGTCCTGGACAGCCCCCATCCATCCACTGCCCGCCACCTTTGTTGAGTCGTCAGTCCATCGTGCTGCAGGCCGTGCCAAAGTACGTTTCCCTAATCGTGGTGTGCACTCCAACACGAGTCGGCACCAGCGACCATCTGTACGTCTGGAGACACGGCCAGCCCTCTTCAACTTCAGCAAGCTAAGTCTGCGCGCAAATTGATGAAGAAAAAATAATGAATGATAACATATAAATATTTTTCACAAAATTTTGTATTATTGAGATAATCTAACTCAGATAATTATGAAAAGTTGCGAAACGAGCAGACGGTTCGCCTGAAGGTAAGTGAATACCGCCGCCCATGGACATCTGCTACACCCGAGGGTTACAGAGGCGTTGAAAACCTTTTGAAAATTGGGCTCCGGCTACCTCACTCACCAGACGAAACGCAAAAGTATTTGTCATACTTCCACTCTACGCTGGTCTTCTGTGAGTTAGTGCTACTTACCCAGACGGGCCTGCCCATTCGTGCAACAGCCGAGGCTGCGTGGTCTCCGTTATTATGGTGATTTACCACTGACATTCATGTCTAAAGTAAGGTCCGAGGAAGTATGAATAAAAAGTTGTGGGACGTTGATAATAATGAACTTAATAAGATCTTTTTCTTTTTTATTTTAGGGCAACCAATTACACTAACGGCCGACCATAAAAAGCTCAGTAGATGGAGTAAGGTGTACAATGTCGGATACACTGACCGTGAGTTTTTCTATATTGTAAATTGAACGGTTCTGACTTAAATAAGCTACTTTTTAACTTTATTAAATTACCTTTAAATCGCAGAAGTATCTGCTATATGCTTATTGATTTAAAACTCTTTAACCTTTCAGGTAATACGGTTTTGGAGCAGGAGTTGCTTGAAATGGAATATGTGAGCCGGGCAACATGCGAAGAATTCTACGTAAAAGAGGAGGTAAAATGCTCACCCTATATATTAATGAGATTAGTCACTAAGCGTTTCATCAATAACAAAACGGAGGAAGACGAAGATGATGAATAAACGTTATATGGTGCACACATCACTAATATAAAATAAATAATGTAGGTAGACGTCGAGATTTTTGCGTCATGAGGTCCTAATCTCAGTTGGTTAGAGCGACTGCGATTTACCCTGTGAGGTCGTTGGTTAGAGCGTCTCCGCGCGTTACCCGGTATACACAGGTTTGAGTCTCGCAGCGCTGAACATTTTTCAACAATTTATGTACAGAAAAAAATTTTGTGTTCTTTCTTTGTTCTAGTTTGTGAAACCTTTCACAGCACTAGAATTATATTTCATAATGCTGAAGCTACAAACATATAAACAATCAAATTTCAGTATATTAACTAACATTATATAAAAATTAACAATATATATAATTTTTCAAAATACTGTGGGAAAACGAAATAAAAAGATTGGAGCCTTGCCATTATTGTGTTATCGTACAACAGCGTCATTTAAATTGTAACAGACATTATATATACGAGTATGGTCAATTCCAGATCAATTTTGACTTTTTGTGGCCCCCTAATGCCTTGTGCTTCAAGATGATAAACTCTAATCAGACCTGTGTCAATAACGCTGGTATGGCACTGGCGAGCAACGTTACCGATGCCTGGATCTTAGTAAGTAATCAAGGTATTCAAGTTAGTAGTACTAGTTTGTTATTATAGAACTCACGATGCACGGGGTAGCCATTATCTGGATTCCGAAAAGATAAAAGACTTTTATTTGAATTGTCATTCCTGTCCGACTTGAGCGTTTGTTTGTTTTCACCCGGTGCTGCAAAGCTGTACAAGCTAAAATTTACTGTTACGTTCGAAATGCTACACCATTGAGCAAGGTAAGGTCAGCTTCTAAAGTTTTTACCGTCTGTTTGTTTTAGATGGGCTTAAGCACGCAGGGCCCTGGATGCTCTTTGCCTGCCCGCTATATAGAGATCTTCCCATACGTTAAATGGATAAGGGATCACACAATAGTGAAGAAGTCGACCCGTCGCCAATCCTACTACCACGAAGCCATCCTCACCCAACACGGCTACAAATCATACGATGAACTATTCTTCCAACATTTAACTGAAGATTATTATTTACGTCTATATCCCTGTGAGTAGAACGTCTTATAGTTTTATCATCGACCTAGCGATTGGACTGTACACATCGACATATCCTAGGAGTCTCAAATATTAAAACAATATTAAACAAATATTAATACAAATAGGATTGTAAAGCAACAGCCTAAACGTCACACTGCTGGGCAGTGTGACGTTTAGGCAAATGCAGTCCACCAATCGCTTATCACTTAACATCAGGTGAACGCCAGCTCGCTCAGCTAGCCTGTAGTCAGTTTACTTAAGAAGTATAAAATGTTGTTCAAATATTTTGTCAGTTTTCACTCATACACACATTTGGTTGTTCACATATTTTGTCAATTTTCTTTCAGCGTACGCAAACATAACGGAGAATGTGGAGGGCTGTTATTGGTACGGTACTAACAAAAGTCTTATGTATAAGGACGAGGAAGTTTTCAACACGAAGAGCCCATCGGCCATCGGGGTGTATGGCGTAGGTTTTTGTTCCATTTTAGGGTTGCGGAACCCAAAGGGTAAAACAGAAGCCTGTTACTAAGCCGCTGTCCGTCTGTCCGTCCGTCACCAGACTGTATCTCGTGAACCGTGATGGTTAGACAGTTGAAATTTTCACAGATGGTGTATTTCTGTTGCCATAATAATAAAACAATAAAAAATATAACAATAAATACTAAGAAATGGTATAAAATAAAAATGTTTAAGTGGGGTTCCTAAACAACAGACATGATTTGCATTTTTGTAGATAACTATATAGAACCGGTCTTGCGCCATTCCCACTCGCACTTGACCGGTTTCTTTTTTAGTTTTTTTTTAAAAGCCCTTTAGGATAGCATAATCCTATGTTGTACGGACATATTACATACATAAATCTCACGCGTCAAAACACCCAGACACGAAATAACTATCTGTGGATCACACAAATAGTTGTACCGTGTGGGTATCGAACCCACGACCTTCGACGTCGAAGCCATTACCTTGGCAACTGCATCAAATCAAATTAAATCATCTTTATTCACAGAAATATACCATATTTATTAATAGGTTCTCCAGTTTAGATTTTTTTATGTCTTAAAATTATATTTAATTATTTATAGATATAGCTTGTAATGTAATGTTTTAACTATATGACATGTATCTAACAAAATTCCATTCAAACTTAAAGTCAAAATTTCTTTATTCAACATAGGCTCATTTTAACCTCTTATTGAAGGTCAAAAACTACCAGCGGTTCACTAAACTAGACCTGCAAGAGAAGAACCGGCAAGAAACTCTGCCATCATATTTTTTTTATATTATTTAATTATACAAAAGTATTTAAGTATAAAATGAGCAGAAGCCAGGGGAATAATAAATCAATCCCATTAATATTCTATACCATTTCGAAGTTGTTATCAACGATGATTATCGTACAGTCGCGAAAATTGTCCAACTGTCCTTTGCAGCTCTACCTCATCGACACCAACTTCATGTATAGGACCTGCGTGCAGGTGTATACCCGAGGTACCGCACGGAGCAAAATCTACCTGTACACGCTGTACGCACAGCCGCACCCAGCGGACACGCCGATGTTCGGGAAGACCGTGGCCTCCAGGGTCAAGGACGCGGGAAACAACGAGAGCTACATGGTGATCACCGACCCCAGGCCGATCCACGGCCTGGACACCACCTACCTCTACTTCAGGTTCCAGTTCTCGTTCACCGGCCTCGTGGTGGTGACCATCTTCGGGGAGTACAACGGCACGGAGATAGCTACTTGATCTCGTGTCGAAGGATATGTTTCCCGTTCGGTTGACACCAAGAAATGATTGAATGTTTTTTTTTACATAGAAGGAAGGTCGGTAAAACAATGTACGATTAAGGTTAAACAGTTTTTTCATTCTCGAAAATCTGTCCATCCTTTGTTGTTAATTTATTTATTTTACAGATTTCAAACATAAATAAACAATGAAGTTTCACCTCTAAAACGTGTACTCAGTACACACGGACTTATTTTTCATCTAATATTAATTATGAAATCGATTACGAAAATTTTTATAGCTTTTTACATGCACATAACAACGCACCTACAACCTGGCGGCGTCCGTTTTTCCGTCCGATTACAACGTAGGCGTCTTCAAGGCAAGAGTGAATAGCTTTTTACTGAGCTAGCGCGCTTACCATCAAAGGCTGCATCGCCAATTGCCATCAGGTGGGATGGCAGTCAAGTCATGGCCAGTTCTAAATAAAAAAAAAACAGCGTGGCAGACGTGTAGTAGAGCGAGCGACTACTTTTGTTAAGAAAATTATTGCGATACGATGGCTATTAAAAAACTGTGAAGGAGAGCATTAGTAATTATATAGTTTTATAAATGTACAATTTGTAACGGTCATCATACGCGTTTATAACACGTATGCTCACCGTTTCGCCGCCTGCGCGCACCGGTTCGGCAATGTCGCGTGCCGTGCATCGACAGCGGAAACACTGGTACGTGGGGCAACAATCCAGGGGGCATAGGCCCATACTTTACAACACAAAGAATATTTTTTAGCCTGACACGTTCCTATTATCTCTTTTTTTAAAACATTGCCCTTACTTTAGGATAACGCTATCCTGTGTTGCAAGGACGTTTCACAAACATAAATTTCACGCGGACAAACACCCAGATGCGAAACAACCATCTGTGGGTCGCACAAATAGTTGTCCCGTGTGGGAATCGAACCCACGACCCCGACGCCGAAGCCAATGCCTTGCGACTGCGCCACGGAGTCATTATCGGCATAGTATTGTGTATAAGGTGCAGTGGGCAGAGTCCTTAATTGAAAGTTGGAGTCACAGTCCCCTTAACCGAGACGTCTTAATATAACTAACGCTCCAGAGGGGCAGAAACAAAAAGATGGCGCTAGACTGGACCGCTCACTACTAGTACTTTGAATTTTAACCAGGCATTCTTATTAAGGTCATTGCGTTCAGCACTTGCATTAGCTCTGAACATTATATATAGTATATTTATAAATTTGTGTTGACTGACATGACCTCGCCGGATTGAATTTTAGTGGAACACTATAGTCTTCGAAACGTAACTAAAATAAAAATCAAAGGAGATAAAGTTCGTTAATTTTCATTAAAGTAAAAAAAAATTGTTCCAATTTATGATATCTTTATTGATAGTATAAAATGCATAGCACCCAAAAAGGCATTAAAATATCAAAAAAATCGAAAACTGATAAATCCTTAAGTGTACGTAATTTTTGAAAGAATGCGTTGACAAGTGGATTATATGCGTTGACCGTACTGAGAATGACGGTACATTCGCTACACTTTCGTACTATTGGCCTGAGGGAAAGAATACTCGCCCTATTAAGTTACCGACACTCGATCTCGTTCTAAGGTACAACAAGTATTATTTACGAGCAATGAGTAAATGGAAATAATTAAATTTGCCGTTTTTTTAAGTAGAACCGGCCCCAGACTTCCAACCCACCTGAGAGTAAATGCTCTGAACGTGGTGAAGGCAATTACTCAGTTCATAATAATCATTGCTGCCTTGAAATATTGCAAAAATAAAGTGACTGCCTATATATAAACCAGCTACTGATGTTTAAAGGTAAAAAAGTAGAATAAAGTAACAGCCATTGTCATTTAACTTTACTTTGAGTACAAGTGGGACATATATAGGCTGATAAAAAAGTAACAGCCTATATATGTCCCACTACTCGGCAAATGCCTTCTCTATACAGAGTGTATGAGGGCATATACCACCAGGAAGCCCCATTGCGAATTTGCAGACTTCCATTACTTCGAAATATTCATTTTTGTTAATATTTCGAGACTATCCGGGTTTCCTCACGATGGGTTCCTACTACTGGCCTTAGTCCACCAGGCAGCCCCATTGCAGATTAGACTTTACATATCATTATTTTCTTTATTTTATTTATTTAATCTTTATTGCACTAAAAATTGTACAAAGGCGAGCTTAATGCTATATTGCATTCTCTAATAGCTAACCCTAGGTAGAACAGAGACATAATGACAAGGGCAGTAAAGTACTTGTAATCGCTACGTAGAAAAATAATATTAAAAAATTAGGTTATAAATCTAAAAACTACCAACATACATAGATGAGTATTTATATATTACACAGTAAATAAACTTAAATATTCTTCGATTTTTTTGTTTTGATTTCGAAAATATACAGTTATCCACACGACGTTTTCCTTCGCCGCTGAGCATTTGATAAGTCAGTACATAATGTTAGCAATATCATTGGTGCCGGCGACGGATTTGAACTCGGATTGCTCGAATGTATTGAATTAAATGCGAGCTCCCGGACACTGAGCTATCACGGCTCTAAAGATTCTCCGTATAAAAAACAGTGGGGTCCAAAACGCTAACCAATTGTATTTTAACCCGGCGTGACATGATTCACGGGAAGCGTTACGATTAAGCGAAGAATGCTTCAGAGTTTTAATCATTAGATATTGGGTACAATGCATGTTTGTGTTACTTTGGGTCCTATGTATAATTTCCTTTTTGTTTACAACTTTCATTAGAACATTTTTATTAAATTTGTGCCAGAACTGTGGGCTGATTAAATGAAGGATTTTTTGGATCAATTCCATTTAAAGATTTTTATAGTGCTAATCTCTGCACTTAAGATTGAACATTAAAATATGTTGAAAAAGTACTAAATAACAATAATGTATGTGTAACAAGAAAGAAGGCGTTAAGATTTTCGTCGGTGTGGCAATCAGCCATTTAGCTCAGTGTCTAGAGCGTCAGGCCGCGAATGCCGAAGACGTGGGTTCGATTCCCACAGCAGCGACAATCTTTTCGTACTTTTTCTACATTATTTTAATCTATTCCTAACCTCTATATTTTAAGTTATCAATCCCCGTGGTTCCAGCGTTGTGCGAGATCTCACAATAATTTGGTTAGTTTATGAATAAAAAAAATTGTCCTATAGTTTCTGAAATATGAACGTACGTGTTAGTCGACAACTTTTCGTCGATGAAAATAGATCAATTCACGGATTTTCCAACATACAAATTATTTGACATTATCCAATACCTTAAGTGATTATTTTAACTGTGTACAATACAGGTTCACGTATCGCCTGCTGAGTGAGGTAGCCGAAGCCCAAATTTTCAAAAAGTTGTCAACGCATCTGCACCCTTGGGAGTAGCAAATGTCCATGGGCTGCGGTATTCACTTAACATCGGGTGAACTGCCTGCTCGCTTAGCAACTTTTCACATAAAGAAAAGGTCTAGATTCCAGACATCGCGAGCCCGAGGTACTCTCGCAGTGTAATAGTGCCATCGGATAAGGTTTCGCGTCGCAACCTGCCAATGTAAGAAGGCTCGGGTTGTTTTCGCCGACAGACTAGCGTTGCGTCCACAATGGCGTCAGAATTAATATATTTTGCCTTAGATCCTTTATAGTATGTGGCATAGAGAGTACAAAATACGCCGAGCGTAACGCCACGATAACAACACTATACGGCTGTAATTCCTGTGTCAACCTTCAACATGATGATACAATTTAAATTTGTAGACAAAATGGACGAAGAGTATTCCACCGCTGCGGGAATCGAACCCACATCTTCCGGATTCGCGTCTAGACCCTTCAACCGCTAAGCTAAACGGTTGATTGCCATAACGACAAACATCTCGACGTTTTTTATCTACAATTGTTTTTTCGCAGCGTTCTACAACGTGATCCTTTCCTATCTAATATTATATGACCACCATTCGACCTAGTGGTGAGCGTTGTCATAGACTTAGGTGGTTCATATTATTTAAAACTAACCCTGGTTTGCAATCGGTCACCATAGCTTTGATATCTATTGAGAAAAGTTACCTCTTGATATTAACAGATAGTTTATAAATTAACTATATTTAAAGTACTTAGGTATCCCGTTATTTTTTTTTAATTTTAATTCCACACGCTTCGAGCCTTTTGCAGTGAATCCGATGCCGGAATCTAACCTCCCCAAAAATAGAAGAACTATTATCGAATTTGTATCCCTATTTGTAAATTTTAATCCGAAACAAAAGTTCAAAACAGATCCAACAACCAAAACACTTGAATAAACTAGCGACCTCTACAAAAAAATACTTCGAAACACTAAATCTGGACGTTGAATCGATAACTCTTACTAGTGTAAAACTCCTTTAAAAAAAGGGTTGCATCAAGTACACAAATCGAATGCTCCGGGGCTTAACCCCATAACAATAGTTGCCAGATCGACTTCCCCAAGGAAATATTTCACCACATGCTAAACCAGAATACACATTTACTGGAATACTGACAGCCAATATGCACGCACCCCTACTTTGGAAGGCGCGAGGATCCTAAGTGGAGTGCACTTTAAATTGATCACGATCTTGTATTACAATGAACTAACTTGCTGTGCTTTGGATCCGTAAATCGATGCAAGTTCGAAGAAAAAAATAGTGACAAACTAAGGCAACGCTAAAATCGAAGCGAGAAACCGAATATTGAGACAGGAAAATAGAAATTATTCCGTATTTACCCTTCATAGGCTATTACTCAGCTAGTGAGTTTGGCGTCTTGAAGGCCCTCGAAGGATTTTGTACACTAGTACTCTTATTATTAAATTACTTAATATTTCCAAGTCAGCTGGTGGTGACTAACACGGGAATTTCTGAGGGTTCCGTTTTTCTGTTGTCTTCGTGCTCCATATTAACGACCCGCTGTTGCCCAGTGACTATAGGTAAGCAGATGAGATGACAGTTATAAGATATCTACCAAAC